AGTTACCTTATTTGAAGTGAAGATGTAGGTATCACAATGGCTGCAGCCGTCTTTGTAGTTACACACTCAAATTTTGCTTGAAGTTTCAAAGCCCTAAATACTCAACACTTCAATCAAAATATGATTTCGTTCCAGTAACACTGACAAACATCATTGTGGCTCAAATTCCTTTGAAAGTTAACAAACTGAAATTGCTGAGAAACTACTTGCTCATAATTCGAGGCCATGCAGATGAACAACAATGCCGGCACTTATTGATTTTCTCGATTTGTCTTAGCTTCCTTTTATCGCTTACAGCTCGCAAGCTCGGGATGAAAATGGAGTGGAAGTACTGGAAATGTGGTGCGCATTTCTCTCCCCATCATATGAGTGGTATATGAGTGGAGTGGTATATGAACGCTTGAATTGGATCTGGAATCATTTTGGAAATGTGGACTACCTTCTTTACTTGAGCACTCTTTGGGGGAAAGTTGTGGCTGCAGGGCTCGAATTTCGTGAAAAAAAAACACAGGCCAAAAGTTCTAGTAACTGAAGAGTGTTACTGGACCTTGAATAATTATACAAGATCTGTGTCAGAAATAAGACAAAAATCCATGGTCTATGTGAAAATGACAAAATCTGGTTTACCTGTACCAAATAGCAGTTGTTAAGTTTACTTTTGGGTCTTGTTCTCATCCACACGCTAAATAAATTCTGAGTATGATTTTGTCGTGAAATATTTCATGCATGGTGCGTACAGCCTCTATGCAGCAGGCATGTCATGTATTGACCTCATCCCCATGGTGTCAAGCAGCCTACCCATGGCTTTGTTAAAATCTCTTGTGAGAGATACCAAATCCCATTAGTTGACACACGTTTTTCAGCACATACGTTTATACGCAGTTAGACAGATCCCAATATCAGGCTTGTGCGTGTGATAGCATGCCATTAAAAAGTGCCAGAATAGCCTGGATAAGAAAAATTACACAACGGGCAAGTAAGTTTTCAATGCCACTTGTTGACAAGTGGTTAAAAAAAATAATGCTGAGGCCTGCTAATTGTTAGAAAGTTGGACTAGTGAAATTATAAACTGCCCTGATCGACGCCGAAACACTCCACTCGGCCAAGGTCCAGTGGGTATGTTAAATGCTGAAATCGTACCTCTAAGCAAAGTGTTTGCATTCACTTTGGAGTTGTGGATCAGTATTCGTTATCACCACGTCTGGGTCACCGTAACACGCAGCCTTCATAATTGTAGTTGATTACTAAAAAGATATTGTCTAATAAAGGTGGTACAGACCAAAAATGTGACACATAAATTCTGAAGTATAGCCTGAAATGTCCTAATTCAGCAAGAACTGTCGAGGGATTAAACTCATTTTTTCAATTTTGTCACTTTTAATTAATAAACCAAGAATTTGAGGAAATCAAAGGATGTTTTGTATTTCCATGGGCTGTGTGATGATAGATGTGCCCCTTGAAAGGTTAGAGAGCTTCTGTAAAACACACAAACCATGCCTTCAAAACTCATTCTAAATTTCAAATTGCCTCAGCTACTTTATTTCGAAACTAAAATAGCCATCATTAAAACACAGACTATAACCCAAATGGAAAACCAATTCGAAAACAATTATATAAACCTAAGAAGATCCAATCTGAGGAATTCGTCAAGCAAAACAATGATTTCAACAAGAAGAAAAAAAAACATTGTTGGCCAATACTCACTGGCTCCCCTTAACGATGGTTTTTAGACAAATGGCGACTTTTATAATTATCCAGTCTGGAAAATAAGGCCCTTGAATTAATTTCTGAAATTAGACAATGACAAAATCATGGTTATTTTCGGTTAGCGGTGTTTTCCGTTACATATACACCTTATTGTCCTCCATTGTTAATTACAGCTTGAAAGTGAAACAACTTGTAGCAAGCCATAGTTAGTAACCGTCGTTAGCGTAAGAACAAAACTCATGCACCTCAAAATTTAAATGTCAGAACTTTAAAACAGAACTTGTTGAAATCTTGTTTACGGTAAATAAGATCCCTAAACAATCAATAAATAATGCAGGGCAACAATCAATAAATAAAACAAAACCAGAAGGCTACATCATATTATGACATCAATAACTTTTCATTCCTAATAGCAGAATACACCGGAGCTGTCCTAAATGAAAGTTTTTAATTCAAATGTGAAGAAATATTGAAGAAATATATGAAGAAATTATCAAGATATTCGAAGTGGGATCGCCTTCAGATCGGGTATTAGTTGCATCTATTCTCCTAAGTCGATCTTAAACGCACGTTTAAGACACGTCAAGTACATATTTATTCCCTTAATATTGCATGTTGAGTACGTTGGGCCCAGATTGTTTGATAATAAATGTTATTACTGCTTATTTTTTTTTACCAGGGCAAACTGTTCATTTCATAGAGTGTAGTAAATTTCTGTGTACTTATATACGAAGTCAGGGGGTCATACTATCCGAACTTTGTAACGGACAGATCTTTGTGTGCTCAAAATAAGCAGAATGTAAAAAGGTCGGTTGGTCAGAACATGAGCAAAAGCACTTGGAGGATTGCCTCCAAGAAGGTTAGATCGGAAAATACAATGCATTCAACACGGAGAGGCCCCTTTTCACATGTACGTACCAGAATGACAAACCACTCCTGCATCCTCACTATGGTCACAGTTTTCCTCTCCCCAACCTCTGTTTATACAGACTTCCAGTCTAGATTCACGTCCTGTACAGGCCACATCGTCCAGCAGAATCCGCCCTGTACCTTCCCCGAACCTGGCTTCACTGACAGCTTGCGTGGCACCTGCAAATCCGAGCTGCCTGCAGACGACGTTAGCATCGCTGATATCCCATTCATCATCACAGACAGTGCCCCATTCACCTTGGTAGTAAACCTCCACACGCCCTTCGTTGTAATGGTTACTGCCAGCAAGACGCACGGTCACACCAGGCTCTGAGAAGCCCACAAAAGTAGCATTAAAAAATATTCTCTCCTTAATTTAATAACAATGTGAGATTAATGAACAAGTGTAGTGTATCCAGCAGCAGGATATGATACAATAGAGGAGGCCACTGCCATGTGTTTCCCTGTGGCTACAAATTTTCACAGCTTCTTGAACCCTCCCGACATGTTTATGCACTTCTGTTGCATACGCTGCAGTATAGTTTTTCATGAGCTGAGCCTTCACACGTTTTTAGAGTAACTCCTTCCAATTTTTTACGCCGAAATTAAACATACAGCGTTTTTTCAGTGATGAAGTAATGTCAAATGATTCAATATGACCATTGGGGAAATGAAAGTGGCAAATATGTGTGATCTCCTTTTAATATTCCAGCACGTGTTTTTCATCATGCCTTACTAGCATATAAAAACAGCAAACACTGTAGGCATTTCATCTTAAGTTTTAATTCTTGGGGGTAACCTTTTTATCCTAACTTTGTATGTGTGTTCGATCTCTGTAATTTTTAATCATGACATATAATTTAGTTATATGTTAAAAAATAAGGTTGTCAAGTTCGCATGCATAGAACAAGGTCTCTCATGCAATACACCACCTGTCTACAAAGCCAATATTCGTCATGTTTCTTGAAGCAACTTGCCTCCAAACCTTCACCTACCTTCATCTGGCAGACAGACTACACCAGCATCTTCACTATGGCCACAATTCTCAACTTCCCATCCTGGATTTGGGCAATGTGCAAGTCTGCTCTCTGTGCCAGCACAAGCAACATCATCCAGGAAGATCGGGCCGGCGCCTTCAAAACAAATATGTTTGTAATGGTTTTCATCGATACCTTCACTTTCGTCTCAGGCACAAATCATTACTAGATCTTTTTAAAGAACTTCCTTGGTAACCGTCTTGCATATTTATCCCAAACACAAGCCCTTGCTCACATTAAAATTTGAGAAAAATCTGACGCTTAACAATTTACAGCCTTAATAAAATCTCTTGTGTCACATTATCTGCTCCTAGTGTTCAAGTGTATCACCAGGGAACTTAAGGCTAGGCAATTTTTATATGTCCAAAGGTGTACGGGCCTCTCCAGAAATGCCCACCAAACAGTTAGGGTCCTATCTGATATATAAGTGGGCAATAGCTCCAGGAGTACAATAAGTAACATTGACAGAGTGCTAAATTCATCACCTCTCTCTAGGTGCTGGACATAGCAAACACCAATGACAGTCCAAGTTTCTCAAGGCAGAATGATAGTTTTCGTTGCATAAGCAGCTAGCCCTTGCATTTTTAAAGGCATTGGCGTGCATTATTTGCTTCGGCATGGTTCCCCGATGAGCTAAATATCGTTCCTGTATATACTGCGATGAAAATTTAAATTCAATCCGTCATCAGTGTACCTTCACCAAACTGAGCATCGCTTGCAGCTCTTGCAGCCCCGTTAGTGAAGCCCAGCTGTCTACACACCACACTGGCATCGTCAATGTCCCAGTCGTCATCGCAAACGGTCCCCCAGACGCCGTTGTGGTACACCTCGACTCGCCCCACATTGGGGTCCGGGCCAACTAGTCGTACGTTATTCACATCTGCTGACAAATCAGACCAGAAACAGCTCTCTCATTCATGTCAGCTTGTTTAGCACATGAATTAACATACAGTACACAATTGATAAAGAATACCAAGGTCCTCGACTAAGTGAAACAAAGACAAACCATTTCCCGAGCCAATAACTGTTGGAGAAAAAAATGGTACCTTATCTAAATCTCAAACATTATACATCCCATTTGCAGTTTTGACATTTCTTCTTGTAATTATTGTGGTGGAAAGCCGAAACTGGGTTTTGATACTCGCGTTGACCACGTTCAAGCCCATTCATTGGGGCAAAATTGTCCGATATAGCACTGCTACGAGGCGGAAAATTTACAGGCCATAAACCTCTGGATTTCCACTTCATCGGTTTTGTCTTTTTTCTTGAAGAAAAAAAGCTCGCTTTGAAAACCTATGAATTAACTTTCTTCCCCCAATCCCCGATTCCACTAAAGCCCAATTCTCCATTAGTGGTTCGTCCGAAATTACTCCTGTACTTTCCTCAGCTCCTCAATAAGATATCAACGATCAGCAGTGCAAGGGTACCCAAGAGCTACAACACAAACAAGCAACGCAATTCACCACACAGGCAGTTGTTAAACAGTTACTTAAACCATCACGCCCACAAGTTGTATACTAAATTACTGTTACAAGCTAGAAAACATGCAACCAGAACCCATGGAGTAACTGATATGTTCAGACCCCTGATAATAAAGCATATTTTATTCCCCAGAAACCATCCGTCACTGCTGAAATGTTGAATCCCTAGATGATCTTCACAGTGAGGTGCATGCCTACCTACAGTCTGCAAACAGAGATAGTTTATCTCTGCTAAGATTATGCACTGAGGTTGGCCTTGAAGGAGATTCAACGACGACCCCTGCCCTTCTCCAGCATGTTTGGAGATACCTAAGCAGTGATGAGGTGGAAGTAGATGAAGGTCTGTCCGTACTGCAAAAGATGCTGCAAGCACTGACGACAACCCGAACCACTGAAATATTGGGAACTGTTAAGCCAGTGGAAACACGAGATTGTAGCAAGAAGAATGTTTCCACACCCAGCGTAGATGTGACGACTGAGCCAGTCTTCCATCAGAAATTTACGATCTTCGGCTAAATTGGATATACGAGATAGAAACACAAGATCACATTTCTGTCTCTCATGCATCAGATAGTGGCATGCCCGTCAGGGGCTACAATTAGGAGGGAAAGGTGGTTGAACCAGTTACTCGTGTGATAAGTCCCGCCTCGCTCGTGCATAGTAACCTGTAGGGCAAGCCAACCCTTTATCTTCTGAACCTCTGTCGAGCTTAGGGCCTCATTATAGGGAGAGCAACGCAACGGCACTGTATTACCAGCTATCCAGAGCACGGCAAGAAGTTGAAGAGAACCCCTAGAGTTCCTTATCAGATGCGCAGACTTGCAGCAGAAGGTCTGGCTTGTTTCCTCGGAACTGACTGCAGGCAGGTATGAAGCTGAACAGTAAGAGCAATGTTTCTCCACTCCCTACAGACAGGATTCCGCTGCGAAGGAGCACAATTTGTATCCCAGGACTAAAACATGACAAACAAGAAGCTTCCTGAGAGTCTCAACGTAGCAACCAATCATGAGGCAGAACTCCTCCAAAGACGAATCGTTCACAACCTTTGACTGTTTACAAACAGCATCACCAACAACTGGATGAACCTAGACCAACCGAAACCTAGGCAAAACCTCACAAAACTAAGTCCTTCAGCCGATGAAAAGTATAAAGGGAATCGAAAGCCCAAGTCGCTTCACTCGCCAGTACTCTTCAAGCAAAGAGAGATAGTCCATCAACAAGCCGAGTATACCACGTCCTCGGGGTGTAGCTTAAAGATTGGGATGTAAAGAGCAAGTGGTTGGTAACCAGTGCTCCCACTGCTTTCGTTGTGGCGTGTTAGATCATTTCATCCCTGATTGTCCCCACCAGGCAGAAAACGAGCAGGAGTTCTTGCCAAGGGATGGGCATTGACAATCCCAGTTAGGAGTCCCAGCGGCAAAAATGAGTAACAACGTAAGGCTACGGCAAAGGTGTGTGCCCATCTCGCTCCACAACAGTACCAGCGGCTGAGCTGATTCATTAGAAAATGATGCATAGTGACATGGTGTTTGGAGGGGCAGCAAACGAAGGCCCGTGGACGCTGGGTCATAGACCTTCTCTCCCGCTCGTGGTTCAAGAAGCTCCTGAGGGAGATCAAGCTAAACGTGAAGGCTGTCAATTCGACTCCAATCCCATTCGATGGATGGGTTGCGGTGGGTTTTGATAACACTGTAACATGGAGACGAAGACCAATCTAGCCCTTTGCAGGTACCAATGCTGGGAACGACAGGTGACACGGATGAATCGGTTATTGGAATTAACGTCATTGAGCAAATACCAAAGAAAGTCATTGGGTATTCTGGAGGCAAAGTTCTCTAAGATGAAATCTGCAGCAATCAGAGTACTAGGCAATCTTATTCGTGGCACTGACTCCAAGACAGATTGCGTGTGAACCGTGAGGATGGAGAAGAGAAATTTACTTATACCAAATAGGAACAATCAAGGCGGTGGTGTGTAAGGTGAGGGCAGGACCGTTCTGTTTAAACCAAATACTGAGACACCTTGGCCAGAGGATGCAAATACAGGCAGCTGTCTGGTGACAGTAAAGGATCGGAGGGGACATCAGCATGTGTTTACATTCCAGTCACTATAAACCGCACTGGTAATTAAATTCTCCTTTGGGGCGCACTGTACTTGGCAGGTTGCAGCATGTCAGTCCTGCCATGCCAGACATACAGCCATCCTACCGGACAACAACCTCGACCTTATCCTTGGATTTGAACCGTTTTAACGGTTGAGCATCGTCAGGCTGCTAAACAGACGCTGATTAAGCTGGAGCCTTTGCGAGGAATGAGAACGACCGTGACTGCATCAAACATCTGCAGACACACATCCAGTTCAGAAAAAACTACTGCACAGTTCGGAGTCCACTTTATAAAGGCGTAAACGGATAAGGCATGATCTAATTAGCAAAGGGTGATTTGCCAAATTAGCTCCCCTTGTTCCTCACCCGTCTTGTGGGTGCAGAAGGTTTGAAAGCTGATCTAAGCGAGCAAAACGGATCCCGATCAACAGCCCACGTGCATTCCTCAGATTCAAGGCGTCCTTGACAGCAGAGGTGGCAAATCGTGGTTTTCTACCTGGGATCAGGGAAAGCCTATCACCAAAGTTTCAAGAGCGAGAGGAGTAAGCAAATTACAGCTTTCATCACACCATGGAGTCGGTGTGAATGACTCAGGACCCCCTTTAGACTCACGAATTCCCCAGCCGTTTTTCCTCGATGCATGGAGACTTGTCGTGGGGGCCTAACAGGAAAATAACTGCCATCTACTTGGAGGAAAAACTGGTGTAAGGGTACATCGTTTAAGGCCCACTTGGCAAATCTTTGTTGAGTCCTGCACCACTTGCAACAGCATTGCACAAGCTGAAAGCAGAGTTGTAATGGTAATTTTTTTGCGACTCAAGTCGAGTTCAGTCATTGTAACGTGGTGATTCGAGTCAAGTCGTTTTAGGTGGGTAAAAGAGTCGAGTTTAGTATTTTCGATTCACCAATGTTTGAACACAATACCATAAATAAAAACAAATGAAAAAGTCATTTTGAGGCACTTAATATTTACTTCTGGGTTTTTACATACGGTCGGTCACACCTCATCTTATAATAATTAATGACATGAACATCATAAACCATTGCAATTTTGTTTAAAGAAGTTTGCTTTTACTTTTGAGACTCGGGTTTTATCAACTTTACTAGATTTGGGTCTTCTATTAAGGATTGCAGTCGATTCATTCGCTTACAGTGACTGGAGTTGCTTGGAGTTGTTGTTTCATTTTGTTTTAAAATGACTCTGATTGTTAATACTTTTTGACGTTGAATGGCAATGGATAGATTCATTGTTAATGCAAGCAACAACTTATTCCTTAATGAGCAGCGTATGGATAAACAACATCTTTCTTCCTGTTGTATGCAACAAACCTACGTATGCATCACTTCTCTTCTTTCCATAGAGTTAAAACCCTTCAAAAATTCGGCCTACATAACTGCAGTGTTACTAACTGCTGGCAGACAAGGCTACCGATGTGACTGACTGCAACTTGCCAGTGACAACATCACTATGATCTCTAATAACTAACTGCTTTTCGTGTGCTCATATTACTGCACTAAAAAGATAACTTCGGGGCAGGATTTCTTAGGCCTTCAGAGATGGCCTATATTGTATCTAGTAGTCGTTCGGCAATTCAAATTTAAAGTATTGAGAAGTTTCAAGCACTTACTAAATAACTTTTACCTTAAAAATGAAAAAAAGGAATTACTTGAATGTCCAGTGCAAATAGACATTTCTAAAATTCCTTTTAAAGGTGTCAGAAGTAGGAATTTGAGTTTCTCAGGCATTCGTTATTCAGCATTATCCAGTCTGTGTATAGACATCAATGGCCCTCACAGGTTGCAATATGTCCATCTGTTCATCCATGTAAACAGGAATGAGAATTACGTCCAGTGTTCTGAATCAAATGCAGACTGGTTTTTATGTGGTCATGCAAGTCATGGCAAATGTATGACCATAAGGGAAAGACGGAAAATGAGACTGGTTCCCCTAAGTGTGTTTGCCTACTCCACTGCATATGTTTGATTTTTATCATGCCTTGTTTGCGTAAAAACAACAAAAACTAAAAAGAGAACTGTTTCCTCTGCCGTAAATTCTTTCAGGACACCTTCCCTCTATCCAGGAATCATACCCTCATACACCCAGGTGAGCATGATGTGTGCCAAATTCGTACTCTCCACGCTTTGCAACAGACAGTTTTGCGCTCGAAATATGTAAAAATTCATGAACTAAGTACATCAGCAAAGTACTTGGAGAGTAAGGGATTGCCTTCAACAAGGACAAAGAGTGATACCAGAAAATAATGCAATAATGCATTCACAGAAAAGCCCTTTTCCCCAACCCAACATGAGAAAGGTTGGTATCTTCCTCATTGAATACCGTATTTATGTTGCGGTTTTCATATCTGTCAGCAGCATGTCAAGTGGCATAATGCTAAAAACCACAATCTTCTTCATATACATACCAAAACTGAGGCAAACCACTCCTGCGTCTTCATAATGAAAACAGTTTTCCACTCCCCAGCCACTGTTCGGACAGTCTTCCAGTCTAGATTCATCTCCTGTACAGGCCACATCGTCCAGCAGAATCTGTCCTGTACCTTCCCCGAACTCAGCTTCACTGACGGCTCGTGCGGCACCCGCGAACCCAAGCTGCCTGCAGACGACGTTAGCATCGCTGATATCCCATTCATCATCACAGACGGTGCCCCATTGGCCTTGGTAGTACACCTCCACGCGTCCTTCGTTGTCATTCTCACCACCAACAAGCCGCACCGTGACTGGTTTTGAGAACAAAAGTAAAGGTTTGAATTTGTGATCTTTCAGTCTTTCAAAAATCAAACACCAATTAAGCGCAAAAGAATATATTCCAGATTTCCACACCCAGGTGGGTAGTCGGATCGGGTGCAGATGTGTGTGAAAAGTGCGGTATCTAAAAACGCCGGCTGATCAGTACATGGGAATGGTACTTAGGGGATAACGGATTACCTTAAACAAGGAATGATACAAGAACACAATGCGTTCAACAAGGAAAAGCCCTTTTACTCAGCCCACTATATTTTTGCCGTTTTCATGTCTCTCAATAGCATGCTATATCGACTGAACTTCAGTTTTTATAGAGCCTAGTGGATAACGTCTCCACGCATAAGCTGCAATTCTGGGTGAAACATGTACTTACTAGAACCATGGCAAACCACTCCTGCATCCTCACTATGGTCACAGTTTTCCACTCCCCAGCCTCTGTTTGCACAGAGTTCCAGTCTAGATTCACGTCCTGAACAGGCCACATCGTCCAGCAGAATCTGTCCCGTACCTTCCCCGAACCCGGCTTCACTGACGGCACGTGTTGCCCTCGCAAATCCGAGTTGCCTACAGACGACGTCAGCATCGCTGATATCCCATTCATCATCACAGACGGTGCCCCATTGGCCTTGGTAGTAGACCTCCACACGCCCCTCGTTGTAATGGTTACTGCCAGCAAGACGCACGGTCACATCAGGCTCTGAGAATGCCAAAGAAATGTTGCAGTTGTGTTTGTTTTTCAGTATTCTCTCAGTTTGATATCAGTGTGAGATTTAATAAGCAACTGTTTCCAGCAACAGAACATGATACAATTGAGGAGTTCAGAAACACTGTCATATGTTTCCCAGTGGCCATAATGTTTGGCCTTTTTGGCCACTATCAACCTGTTGTATAAATGACTCATCAGAGATCTCACTGATACATAACCAAAGAGTGTTTTGTGTTTCGCTTGTGCCAGAAAAGGGGAGCAACTTTTTGTTCCATGTAAACTCGAACCAGAATTATAGCTAACGTTCTGAATCATATCAACTCTCCCTGTGTTAGGGTCCGGGCCAACCGGTCTAACAACTCCCTCATCTATTGACAAATCACACCGAAATTATTTATAAAGCGCAAATTTCATACAGATGTATGCATTGTACAATGAGGACAATGGCATACGAGGCCTTAGGGCGCCTCAGGCAGCAGCCAAACAACCCATATTCACTTAGATAAGAGACAATGAGAAGCATTTATACAGTTGTAGAGGAAGGAGGAAAACCCCAGAGAAGAAAGTTCTGGGTAAATCTTATGGAATCAGGTACAGATTGAAAAGCAGATCCACATGTGGACCGAGCCGAGAATTCAACCCAGGCTGCAGAGGCGAAAGGAGAGGAGACAACCTCATGCGCCAACCCGACTCCCCAAACTTTAGCGGAATACAACTGTTGCGGCGGACAGTCAAAAGTGGTTTTCAATATTTGCGTCCGCCATCAAGCCTAAGCTTTCAGGCAAAACTGTCCAAGATAGCAGTGCCACCAGGCAAACACTTTCCAGACCCTAAACCTCTGCAGTTTCCACAACCCGTTTTAGTATGTAGACCATATGGGCTTCGCTTCCAAAATCCTAGACTCCACGAAAACATGAAAACTTGCCCGGAATTACTCCAAAACTCGACTCCTCTGCTCAATAAGATAAGATATTAGCGATTAATAGTACAAGAATCCAAACAAACAACGCAACTCGCTATAATCGAAATGAAACTAAAGAAAATTTTCACTCACAACAGAGTGTTCATTCATCTGAAAAGCAATCGTTTATCCTTTATTTTATCAAACTGAGCATAAAATTCATTTTCCGCTCTAAACATTTTATTAAACCAATACAGAGCAATAAAATCTCCTAATTTGCGCTAAATAATCTGGAAAGGGGTTATGAATGAACATGAACACAACCGAATTCTTAGTCCAAATACACGGATGTCGTCTTATTCGTAGTCATGTTACCTTCTGATAAGGAAGCAGACACTCTGCTTCAAAACTTCGGGAAGTAAGCAATTGGCATCTTAGTTATAGCAAATTAGTAATCTACTGTGTATTAGTATTTTCTTATCCAAACTTAAAGGACCAAAAGTTGAAGATAAGTTTCTATTCTTTCAATCTTTATTTTTACGGTCTTCTTTTAATTTTTTTTTCAAATTGGGCCTATGGGGTATGAGCGCAAGGAACCAGACGCAACCATTTTGAATTTCCCCAACTCTGTTTTTAGTACAGTAAATGCAATTTAATGCACATGGAATGTACAAGAACAGTTGATGTTAAGGGTTGAGAAAAAATTTATACCGTAATATTTCAGACATTTTTATAATCAGAAAGGTGACCAAATGTGCCGAACTGTTACCCAAATATATGGTAAGTGCATAGAAAATGATTGATAGAAAATTTTGCGACACAAAAGTTTATCCAAATATAACTTCAAGAAAATAGCCCGACGGCATTTTCGGAATTTCACCTAGCCAGTTAAGCCATATGGGTCTGGCGATGGTCTTATGTGGTCTTATTTAGCTGTCTTAACTACAATATTGCACCTATGCAAGATTTTCACAACCTCTACCTGCACAAACAAATTGTTGAGGCAAACAAATTTGTGTCTAGGCAAGGCAGGGTATACTCATTTTTTTAATGCATGCTTTCGTGTTCCATTCTCCACACAGTGCTTAGGCATCATTTCAAAATCCTGTTGACTATAGGAAAGGGCCATCTGACCGCTAACAGTGACTTGTGCTGAGTGAATAATGGAGGGGGCGTTGCTTCACTGAAACCACATAGCCTTGGAAGTAATGCAATAAAAAGACATTTATCAGTTGGAATTGGACACTTGAGAACACTTAACCTGAGAGCCAACCGTTAATAAATGTATGGGTCGGACCGTTTTGTCCGACAGCTACCCGATAAGAATTTTGAAATGGTGCCTTATCCCTCTATAGCAAGGTTGCTTATTTGCTTGCAGGAACCGTGTTCTTTTCGTTCTTTTGTTTTTTTTATTAGAAAAAGAAAAACAAAATTTAAAAAAAAACAATCGTTTAGAAATGTATAATCATGCAACACGGTATGACGAGATGATGGCTGGAATTGCAATAAAATGACCGCGATCGATTTCGCACGGAACAGCATGTCGTGTCTAATCCGCTTCGAAATGGATCTCCTGATCTATACGGCTACCCGTACCGTCAACCGCGTCTCCACGCACGTGCATAATGTATTTCTATCAGAACGGAGACGTAGACCTAGTTCTAGCCAACAGATTTGAATGCAGTTTGCTGCTGTCTGGTTAGTCTTGGATTCAAGCTGATGAACATTTCTCCGTTATTAGCAACTAGTATATATATAATACGCCTGATCACCGCTGCAAGCCCCTAGCTTCCAAGCTAAGAGTGAAAACCACCTCCTTCCATGATGTTTCACGTGTGCATAATAATGCAAAAGCAACGTCAAACTATCTGTATATGGAAACGAAGTTAAAAGATTGCAATTTTTGGATCCTGGAGAGCACGTTACATGTATTTCAGATAAGTCAGAAAACTATTTTTTCTGGATTTTAATTTAAAACTGAATTTCGATTTCCAGTTTATTTTCTTGACCCACCCACCCCAACTTCCAAAATAGCCGAAAATAAAAAAAAATTGAAAATTTGAGTGGCCCCCAATGGAGTCCATTTTTTGTGTCCGTGAAAGTGAAACGTGAGCAACACAATCTAAAAACGTGCTTATGGAAAGGCGCCATGAGTCTTTTATTGAATCGGCCGGGTTGATCCAGAACATAAGTAGACCTGAGACATAAGCGTATCCCATCACAATCCTGGACACTTCTTCCATCCCCACAAAAACCGGTTTATCTGGGGTATGATTACTGTTTGCATTTGTTCCTCCACTAAAGAAATATTTCGGCCTGTACCAATGGATCAATGGATTGATTGCAGGGAGAAAGTAATTCATATATGACTTACAACACGCTCACAGATGGGCTACTGTGAAGAGTGTAAGCATTCATGCTTTCAGAAGGGTGTACTGTTACTGAACATAATTAGTACCTGACTCCTGTCATCAAGACTTAAATATTATAAATTACCACTGTTTAGTGTTATTTACCGTAATCAAACCGGGAATGGCTGTGTTCTCAAGTAAGAAACTTGACACAGATGCTATTTATTGTTCTCTAAAGTTTCCACGACATCTGTTCATTGCTGTCATGGCCTGACGTTTTATGGCAATTTCAAACTTAGGAAAACACGGTGTCTCGCACACCCGATCCTTTGGGTGATTCGAAACCTGTAAGCGGAATCATGGTAGAATGATGCAGATGGCAGTGTCCTAAAAACGATCAATCCCTGGGTTAACGACATTCGCATCTAAATAAACTTAGTGACGAAAATTTCGCGTGCAGAGTGCAACTGCCTGCAGAGTGCAAGTTTTGCAAGTGCTATATCAGGACGAAATGACACGAGTGTATAATGTAATCACAACGATGTAAAGGGACTCGGGCACTCACCCCCAAAGTGCAGGAGGGGGTACAAATTAAGTGGATGGTGACAAGATATTAGGGGGTTGTCGACTGCTTTCCAAAAAATACCAGATTTACCGCTGACTGACAGACTGAAATTTGCATCTGTGCAAGGCTCAGTTTGCAGAGCCTGGTTTTAGTTTAGCATGATTGCATGATACAGTGCGACCCAAAGAAACACAACAATACCAGAACAAAGGCTGAATTGAACCAAGTTGTGTGTTGAATGACCATGGTTTGTCAAAGACTTAGAGCTACATGCTTTCAAAGGATACTTTAATGGCTTTCCTTCAATCATTCTTCACCGATTTGGGAAAATGCATGTCGAAAATCCATTTGCGACACCCGCCTTAAGGAATGGTGTTTCTGGGATGGTGAGTAAATGGTCTTCATTTATAATATCTCCCGTCCTACAATTGATGAACCAATCCGAATAACTCATAATTAAGCAACATTGATCGCTCTTTACAAACAACACTACACCATTCTCCACCTTTATATCGAATTTCAGTGATCACCTTCTGATTATTCTCTTTGTCCCCGACTTAACTTTCCCGAATCCCTATTTTCCTGTCTAATTACACAGAATGAGCTTAATGACTTTATCAGTAAAATTCAGAGTAAGAAGAGTATGAGTCAAGATGAACTCGACAAAAAAATCTTTTCATGAAGAATATTTCTCCTTTGAACATATTTTGAAAAAAAAATTAAATTGGTATTTTTTTGGATCTTTCTAAGGCGTTTGATACAACTGATCATGATATTGTAATTAGTAAACTTCACAGATATGGTGTCAAAGGTATTGCATTAGGGTGGTATTGCATTGGGGTGGTTTCAAGATTATTTAAAATTTAAAAAAAAGAAAACAATTCATTGTCTGGCACAGCAAAAAGTCTAATTACAAATCAATCACCCGTGGTGTACCTCGGGGCTCTGTCGTAGGGCCGATCATACTTCTTATTTATATTAACGACATTTTGTAGCTCGACTCAACTTCTGAAGTCCATCTTTATTTGCAGATGATAGCAACACATTCTACAGTGGTAAACACCTAATTGATGCTGCTGACTTGATAAATAGTGAGCTTAATAAAGTGTTCGAATAATTTGTTTGCTGCAAATTATCCTTGAATTTTAAGAAAACACATTTGATTACTTTTACTAACTGAGCAGTAGATAAAAATGTTAACATCCATAATAATTGAAAAGGTTTATTCCTTTAGATTTTTGAGTGTCATTGTTGATGACAAATTAAAATTAACATAGAATATGCCTTTCCAGAAAGCTCCTACACTTATTTAACGCAACCTTGGTGTTCTTATTGTATTCTCTTTGCTGGGGTCAGAGCCGATACAAGCCCCAGCTTCTGTCGGGCCTCCCATACTATTACAAAGAGTACCGTTAAAATTTTTCCCACATATATTCAAGTACATATAGTAATAAAAAATGAACCTGAACGTGAATATTCCTTTTAAGTGATTAATGTGCCAAATAGAATGCTACTGTCTTATTTGGTCTGAATAACGATGTTCGTTCCGTGGGACGTGTGGCCTGATTTTACAATAGCTATTTACTTTTGAGACAGTAGGGCGATGCATTGGTGAATGGTATTCATGCACATTTGGAACCATTTGGCCACTTGTTTAGCAACTGTTTGTGACATTACCCAGCTTACCATTGAGCAAAGAGTGTTTGCTGTGGCTTAACTGTCTTAACATAAGGACGTCCGTTGTTAATTCAACGGTTCTTCCTTTCTGTTTTACTTTGACGGAGGGTCGGTCTGTCAGGGTAAAAAAGATGGACAACAAACTACCGGTACTTTCTTTCCAAAGGAATTTATTCAGGTAATCACTTTTTTCTTATAGGAAATCCCGACAGGGTCAGCAGTATTAAAAATGGTATTTTTCTCGATGGGAACTAATAAGGGACATGTATGAGAAATGTGAGCCGTAGGCCTTACCATGGAAACCCTAATCAGCTTATTTCTTGTGTTTCAAAAGGTCATCTTGGATGTGATCATGGTGTCTTACCCTAAGGCATTACAAATAGACATACCATTTTCAAAACAATCGTGATTAGTTAAAGGAATTCCAAGAAACACCTCATGGCTCTTTACTCCTACTTTATAGTAAACATAGTTATACCTCGCAACTTGGACCGATTAACCCTTTATAACAGAATCCTATTTGTTTTTCTAGGACACCCTGTACCTAAAGGGACGCATATAGGCCTAGGCTATTGCTGTTAGTTGTTCATGATGTCCAGAACAAACCAAACCAAAGAAACCCAAGGCAAACAGCGTGTGGATATGGGAAACTGATGGGGGCAGCCAGGGGAATGGGAAATGAAGGATACACCCAGAGAAGATAATAATGCTGAAGGAATTCGAAACTGGACGTAAAGGTACGCTATATTAAAGAAACGTCGACTAGCATGAGCAATCGCGGGAGAATCTTAAGGACAGGACTTTCTCAAAAACTCGTCAACACTACTGACAGCTTCAGTTTTGCGCTCACATAAGAACAACATCTTCACCAGCTGCGCTTCCTTTAATGCTTAGTCACTGGCACACGAGCAGTGCGAGTGGATGTATTCGCTGGGCTGTACACGTTTGTTTTGCTTATATGTCTCTTGCAAGAAATAAATTGAACTGACGTAGTTTTGTTGACAAAAACAAATTGTGGTGCGCAAAAAGACATTTATTCCTAAAAGATAGATTTATGTATCTCTATTAGAAACAGAGAAACAGAAATATTTCTACTTTTGGATTGGCATGCAAGCCTGAAAGAATTAGAGATGCTTGTCTCAGAAAACAAGAAATATTTCTGTTAACTAGCCTACTTGGCAAGCCAAGAAATATATACACACATAATATTTGTCAGAAATTTAAATTTCCTTCGTTACGGAATGAAATGTTAGATTTGCACAGCATTTGCACAGCATACAGACGTGCTTTTCGCGAGTCGTTATAAAGATTTCAGCCTGCATGCAGAACAACTCGTTTGCCAATGTGGTACAAGTCAAGTCGTACGAGTCTGCAAATTTGGATTTTGAATAGAATGGGTCTGAGTCGATCATTATCGGCTGTAGCTCAATTCGAAAGGTCCTCCAAAGTAGATTTTAGTGGACTAAGCTCGGCTTGGACGCGACTGTGATAGCCCCGAGAACGACTCAGTCATGCGCAGTTTTTGACAGCAATTTGTGGGGAGCAGAATGTACATAGTGTTTGGGAAGGCATCTGGCACACCCTTTCTCCAGGCAATGACAAATCCTGGCTTGGGGTAAGAGGTAAAACGGGGATTTTTTAACGACAGTCAAAATTTTTATCTGTTAAGGATCCCCCTAAAAAAAGGGGATAGTACTGTGTTTAAAGTGTGAGAGCTTTCGATTCTTCAGAAAGGCAATAGGTCTACAGGGGCACCTTAAATCCCCCCCACACACACACACGAAGCCAAAAATATCCATTTTTGCTGGCAAATGCGTCAATTGGGGAATCGCAATGGAAGAGGTCATCCTCTTTAGTCTTGCATGTTACAACAATATAGTATTTTTTAAAAATCTGAGTATTGTTTTAATATATACATATTTACAAGAATTAAATCCCGCAAATGAATGTAAAAAAACATCAAACATGACCCAGGGTACATTTTTATGGAAAATGCAGGACGCAGAAACTCGAGGAAAGTACAGTCAAAATACCAGGAAACGTCGTTGATCCTTTGGTGCGGGAGGACTTTGCTGGCAACCCACTTAAGAAAACCAACACTATCAACGGCTAGTATAGATATCAATGCTACATGTCCCCATTTCTAACACTTACCAGGTATGCCCCCATGTCCAAACACCACTGGAAGGATCAGCAAGAACAGCGTGAGAGTCTTCATTGTGTTGGAGGTCCTGTCTTCGCCAAATGATCAACACAAAAGTGACACTTTACACCAAGTTATGCTCGGAGTTTCTCTCTCCTAGTGCGCCCCAGAGAGCAACTGGCTATAGATCGGAGTTTCTGTCTGGTTTTAAACTATACCTCTTTGCTCGCTCAGGTCAACGATCGTGAACGCAGGCAACAGCCTTTAGCTGAAACATAAATCAATTTTCAGCGTATGTTTCAGCTCGACTTTTCAATTACGCATGCCCACTTCTGGAGGTTATTTGTTTGCATCAGTGGGTTGCTGAAATCGCACATCGGAAGCTGTAGTGTCCCATTCCATGAAATTATCCGGTGATGAGTATTAAAACTAGTCTCAAAATACGTTAGACTTGAATCCAGTCAGACTAACGTCAGTCTTTCCCCAGTGAGCCATCTGTTCACTGTACACAGTGCGCGGTCGTCGCGCTCAGCCACTCGCATAACTTCTTATAAAAGCGCCCTTTTTTAATAGCCGTACGTGTGTCACCAGTCAGTAAGTCAAACTTGACAAATAAGCCAATCACTGCAGACCCCCGTCGGTAATACATAGTTATTCATAATTGCATGTTAACAACATGAATATTCAGGCCTGTACGGAATTTACACCGATCAAAGTAGACAGAACTGGAATTTCCACCAATTAAAGAAGTCCGACTCGTTCATTATAATGGAGGTGTTAACGATGTAAAAACAAGCCTGACATTGGCTCCTGCTGATTGGCTGCTGCCTTTTTTGGTAGATGAGCTAATTTGCTGTTGACAAACGGTTGGCAGATTCGTCAAGTTGGCATTTTTCAACTTTCATTGTCACCCAGTGCACAGATTTTAGAGAAGGAAATGCATCACACTAAGTCACAGCCAACGCAGTGCATTATGGGTAATTTCTGCCAGCCACCCGCGCTCATTCAATGCGGCGGTTGTCAATTTGATAATTCTTTTTCTACCCCACTGCTGAAAATATTCTCACTACCTCATTAGTTCATCAAAAATTGATCAAGATAACCAATAATGTGAAATATGTTGCTAAAACACACGTGAGCAGTGACACTTGTGAGAAGATAAGTTATCACGCTGTGATTGTACCAAGGCCATGTTTTTGTGATACAGCCGACACTTTTGTCTATACTTTAAAGCATTGCCATTGGCGAGCTACAAAGAAATAAATAATTCTTCTTGAACAGGAAGTGATAACCTCGTGGTCTCAAGTCGTGCACAAGGTAGCAAATCACAGTACAAGGTCATCAGCCCTTCCCAGCGCGCTGTTCGGGCATTGGGCGACGAGCAAATTACCAACTCTCAGTAATTAGTGGACACAAGAGGGCGCGAAGCAAATAACACCCCGACAATCGAGGGGATCACACGGCCGGTGACGAGGTTGAGAGATCCACCGTAAGCAGGGCGAGCGGGTAGCGGAGTTCAGAGGTTGATATAGAGAATCACTGGTACGATCTATTATGGGTGATAAAGATGAGATTATGAAGAGAGAGAGAGAGAGACGTCTTAACACCGCTCGATCCCCTAGCTTGCTGGGATCAGCTGGCCGGTCCAAGTCAGATGTAGTAACGTGCACCGCAAACTATTTCAAGATGTACTTTGCGTCGGGAAGAAGTTAATTTTAATTTCAGATTTTGCCCTTACCCGACGTGTATTAATGGGCACTGTATACTCAGTGTATGTCCGAGAGCTTGCAAAAAAGGAGACGCTGTCGGACATGCACTGTGTGTACAGTGCATGTCCGAATATTAGCATGTAGTTCATGTTATCATACTCCCCCTTTTCAGAAAAAAAGAATGAACTTTTAACCGTATAGGCAGATAAATTGCAGTTGCTTTTTGTAATTTCTTCAGTTGCAAAAGCGTGGGTTATTCTCAAATCTAGAATGGTAAGCTATAAGCTTGGTTGAAAGGTTCAATGCGTTTCCAAATCCAGTGTTTTGACAGATTAAGTTCTTTATGTCACGGATTATGTGCTTTGCGATTAAAACAAATTTGTTGAAATTATCTTTTGATACATTAAAATGTATGAGATTCAGCTTAGCACTGTTGACGAGATGGATGAACTAATAATAGAGTTCAGAGAATTCGCTAGGTCGTAATGTAAGGTCATGAATATTAATAATCGATAAGCGTCTTCAGAAATTTCGCCTTTCTTCTCACCTTTCGGGAAGACATGCGCGCGAGCGCCAGTCAGCCACAGTTCTGCCTATTTTTGTTGGATTTTAGCCTTGTCAGAGGGAAGGTATTCTGCCGTGCGTTGGCTCATCCTTGTTTTCAAGGAGTGCTAAGTGTTAGTATTCCTTTTAGAATCATTTTACAAATACTTTCATGTGAAAATGGGGAGCTTTTCTTTTCCTTGGTCATCATTATCCTAAGTCAGTCATGTACATGTATATCGTGCATGCATTGCTGTGACACGACAGTGTACATGTACATGTACGCTGTGGGTAATTCGTAACTTTCCCTCACCTCTGACCGGGTTGCTTGCGGTCTTGCCATGCATTACGCATGTATCGGAATTTACTGACTCTGTATGCACATGGCCTGTCCCTGGTAGCTGGCCTATGTGGGTCCCATATGAATCTTGGATGCAGCCCACTTGTGGTCCCGTAGGAGACACATATGGACTGGCCCATATGGGACCCATATATATTATTTTTTAAATGCAGACCCATATAGGTTATCTGGGCTAGCCCATGTCGGTACCATACTCTTGGGTGCAGCCAACCTGTGGTCCCCTATGAGACACATATGGGCTGAACCGTATGGGACCCATAATATTTTTTAAATGCAGACCCATATGGGTAATCTGGGTAGCTCGTATGGGTACCATATGAGTCTTGGGTGCAGCCCACACGTGGTCTCATATGGGACACATATGGGCTGGACCACATGGGTCAATGAGTCATTTTTAGATGTAGAATCCATTGGGGCCCTCTGGTGGGACTCGTATTGTTGGCCCATTTGGGCCATTAATTACACGGGCAGAATATGGGCAAACCCATATGGGCATAATTCATGGGATTTATATGGAACCCAAGTGGGTCAGTGGCGTATGGGTACAATACCGGCATTACGTGGGGTCCACCTAGGTCAGTAGTATGTGCATTTACTTCAGTCCCAGGTGGGACAGCAGTACATGGGCAGAATATGGTTAAATTAAGACAAAATGGTTGAAAATCAGATTTTCTTATCCAACAAATGTGCAGATATATGTCTGTAACAAATGTCTTGGAAAATGTATCCAAATTTATAACTAAATCATTAGTTCAACACACATGATATTAACACCCCTACAAAAAAATCAATATGCAAAAATCAAAACAGAGCCCTCCTGTAATGGCAAAAAAAAAACGGGAAAAGCGGAGAGATCTTGGACCGTGAGACACTCCCATATGAACTTCAGAACAAGAAACCTGACCACGTAACTCAACATTAACATATTACAGATACATGTAAGTCGACGTCACTCGCAAGTTGCTTTAATTTGTGCGTATTAATTAAATCCTTCAATGTATGCAAGTATGAATATGTACAGAATCAGGGGAGAGTTCCATATACGGACGCCAGTCATTATTCCCTACAGTGACCTATTAGCCATCAGGAAGCAGAAACATGTCCAGAAAAATTCAATTTAGGAGGGGGAAAACAAGTCATTTACTTAGAAAACACTTGGAATTTTTCAGACCACTCCCATAGGGTTTGTGAACAGGGTGTGAAGTAGCGTCCGTATATTAAACTCTTTCCCACAATCACGGTGAATAAATTATTTCCCATGTCTTATTTTATCATAATCTAATGCATATTTTATTGTACTTTTTAAGTTGTGTGACAAAAGGCTAAATGAAGTGTTAACTGGGCCTACGATGTAGTATAATTACAAGCGAAGTTTAGCCTGGCCAGCAAGCACCATCTAAATGTGACAAGGTTGTAGCCGATACAGATTTCATGGAAGTTTTGCTCTGCACTCTGTTGGCCTTTTGTATTTATAGCCATCAAATGAACAAATCTGAACTGAATGGAATACTGGTACTGGTTAGCCTACATGTACTTCACACCCTGATCACGGAAATAATGAAAATCGTAATATTTGAATCAAAACAGTTAGGGCCTAATAAGCACGGAGGTGCTTTAACTGAAACTTACACTTTTCTAATCATGCAGCATTCCTTGTCAATGACGTGGCCGCTAACTAGCTATGCTTGCTACATAGAGCAAGGATGGCGGAACATCATGCACGTTAGCAGTAGCACAACACCATGAACAGATTTTTGTACGGAAGTTGTATTGATTTTTCAACCATGGTCAGTCCATGTAGTTCCCATGTGGGCGTGCCCCTGTATTTCCCATATGATAACCGTGTGGATCGGCCCAGGTTGTCCCCATGTGAGTGTGCCCAGGTTTGTTCCATATGATTTCCCATATGGGTCAGCCCAAGTGGCTCCCATGTAGGTGTGCCCTTATTTTCCCATGTACTACCCATGTGCATTGGCCCAAGTATTTCCCATGTGGGTGTGCCATGCATGTTGGTCCTATATAATACCCATGCGGATCAGCCCAGGTGTATCCCACATGTGCCCACGTTTCTCCCATATGATACCCACGTGTGCAGGCCCACGGAGTTCCCATGTGGGTGTGCCCATGTTTATGACACCCATATGGGTCGGCTGTCAAATTCTTTTTTATGCCTGAGTGATTTTTTTACGAAGTTTTCGTGTTTCATTATTTTACCTCGCCCGGACCCCATCGAACTTTTGCATTCTGTTTGAGTTGTTACGTAATAGCTTCCGCGCCATACTGTTCCTTTTTGCAAACCCTGTAGTTTCTTTTATTTGTTGAATTCACAATAACATGCCTTTTGTATACAATGCTTATGGTAATTCACTGTTTCTTTTCGCGGTTATCGTCTGTTGGTTCCTTTTTGTGGTTGTAATGGACGGTATGTAATGTTCAGGTGTAGATACTTTTCGGGGTTAATATAAATTGATTGTGTGGAGTGTAGAGTGAGAGAGAACCATTTTGAGAGTCGTCGTATGTCAGTGTGACAGAAGTCTTTGGGTCGCCGTCACCCCAGCCACTAGGCGAGTGGAAGCAGCCACCGCAGGCAAGAGGCCGGCCAAATGCAAGTTGTCGAGGCCGTAAGCCACCGCATTAGGGGTTAATTCAGGGTACAGTTGTACCGAACCCCTTTGCTTTACGACGCTCTCCTAGTCTCACCAGACATCACGAGCAGTTGGTCGATTATCCGACTCCTTGATTTCCCCGAATTACCGTAAATTTCATTTTGTCATGTTTAAAGCAAACCTGTCGTTGTTGTCGTCGTCGTCGTTGTTGTTGTTTGTTGTTGTTGTTGTTGTTGTTGTTGTTGTTGTTGTTGTCGTTGTTGGCGCTTTCAGCAACTCGGGCTATTTGCGCCAATAACTGTTCGTTTATTCATTCACTTTATTGATCAGCATCACATTACAAAATGCAATATCTTCAAAATGCATCCTCCGATTTCAGCCAAATTTGGATTTTGAATTTAGCTTGGCCAGAATATCATATGTAACGACCTGCATGTATGGCCAATAGTCACCGAGTGGTCGCTAGTGGTCATTCTTTTCAAATATAAGATAAGCTTCTTATACTACAACGCCGGTCCAATTATTGTCAAACGTGGTCAATGATATCTCTGGACCTAGTGTCATAAATGTGTTCATAGAATTTGGCTGGTGGTCACCTAGTCGGCACTAACAGTGTTAACTTAAAAATACAAAATGACATTTCTCATCCCAGTCATGACTCAAATCTCAAATAAGGACGGTTACGTCTTTGCAGGAAACACCATGTGGTTGCTTTTTTTAACCGTTAACAGAATTTGGCTGACGGTCACCTAATAGTCATTAGGAGTCATTTTTTTCAAAATGTTCTTCTATTGGTTGTCCAAATGTTAAACTTGATCGTTTTTATCTCTGCACTTAGTCTTGGTCAAGACGTTGCTGTGTCGTTGATACGGAGGGCGCTCACAAGACGAATAGCTGGAACACACTGGCCACGCCAGTACGTGTAATATGTAGAGAATTCTGTGCAAAGCTCATTTCCCGAACCAGACATTACGCGATTTGCACAGGCCGCGCCTCTGCAGTACGGACCGCAACATCCGTCCAGCTAACTAGCCACCCTGCTTTGAACGCTAGACATGGGCGAACCTTGTCATTTCCGCTAGTAGGCCCCTATGACACAAAGACCTAAGCATTCATCAGTTTTATGCACAAAAATCTCTGCTCTTAAATCCTTTAGCACATTTCAGCCAGTTTTGCCAGTAGTCACCTTGTGTGCACCTTTAACATTTCCAAAAGCTGTTCACGGCTTCCGTGCTTCCTTGCTTCTGAAGCACATTAGCTCTAGTTGTAGGTTGTTGGTCTTTGGTGTCTAAGAACTGAATCTCAAAAATAGGCTCGGTATCGGACTTCGGGACCAGCATCAAATGGTGTGTATTCCTCTGGCACTCTGAACCTTGTATGTTAATTACATAGTGATAAGTGGACACGTTTTGCTAAAAACTTGCCGAACGGGACTCATCCTGATGAAGTGCAGAACCTGATGTCATCGCCTTGTTTCTGCTCGTCTGTAGATGTTCTGCACCGTGTCTCCGGATAGACTACAGTCCTGACACGTTTAGGCTTTACTCCATCATCTGCTTCCTTCGATCGCTTACGGCTCGCAAGCTCAGGACAAAGATTGAATGGAAGTATTGGAAATGTGGTGCGCATTTCACTCCCCATCACGATGAAGAAACAGTCAAAGCTGGTATTGGAGTGGAATGGTAGTCAAGGAAGCTTGAACTTGATCTGGTTGTACAATCATTTTGGAAATCTTCTCTCCCTTTCTACTTCCTTGGGGATAGTAAGGGCTGCGGGGATCCAATTTCGTGAAAAAAGACCAAAAGGTCTAGTAACTGATGAAGAATATTTCTGGACCTTAAACAATTTTATATGATCTTTGCCAGAAATAAGAAAACAAACAAACAAATTCTGTTAACGTGTACACAAATAACAGTCATACAATGTATTTTTGAGCTTTGTTACTTTTCACACGCAAAAAATGTTGACTATAATTTTGTAGCAAAATATTTCGTGCATTGTGCGTGCAGCGTCTACAGGTCTGCGGCAGCAGGCATACTGTATTGATAATGTATTGAGGTTAGTATCTTGCACGTTTTACTTTTAGCAGGGCACCTTTCCACAACAAATGCACACAGAAAGGAGTTTGTGTCGGGTACCAAATCCCATTGGTTGACATACAATTTTCAGCACATAGGTTAGCACGCTGTTACACGGATCCCAATTTCAGGGCTGTGCTTGTGATAGCATTATTAAATAGTGCCAAAATTGCTTGGGTAAGAAAAATCACACAAAAGGACGAGTAACATTTGGATACCACTTTGTGGCACTTTTAATAAAACTGGAGGATTTAAAGAAATCAAAGGATGCTTTGACGGCCCTTTGAAGGTGGATGTGCCCTTTGAAGGGCTAGGGAGCTTCCGTAAAACACAAAAACCACGCATTCAAAACCCAATCTCAATTTAAAATTGCCTCAGCTACTTTATTTCCAAACTAAAATTACCATCATTAAAACACAGTCCATAACCCAAATGGAAAACCAATTTGAAAACAATTAAATAAACCAAAGGAGAAAATGACGTCAAGCGAAACAATGATTTCAACAAGAAGGAAAACAAACACATCGCCAGACCTGTGATTAAAGTTGCTGCTTTCAGAGGGGGATAAACCATTTTTCCCCCATGGTTTTACAAAACTGACTAATTGAGGGATTTAGGATTTAGTGCAGTTTTCATTGTTTTTGATGTTTAGACCACTGTTTTGAGCAAAATCGAGAAAAAATAAAGCGACCTTTTCAACAGTTACATCGAAGATCCCGTAAATGATCATGCGAAAAATCCATGAACTACGGAGCGGTTTAAGTAAAGAAACAGCGTATCGGTGGATGCAGGGTTTGACTGTTTGCATTAAAAAACAGGTGCTCTTGCCCTTTAAAAAGAGCAGTTTTCCCATGGCCAAGAGTATTAATCAGTAAACTTGCCCAAAAGTAATCCGCCAACAACGGAGTTACTGGGCATACAGTGACTTCAGTCTTGTGCAACCTGTTTTATTCACCCAAAACGTGTGCTGCTGCTGACCACAGTAGCTGGGCAGGGCAGACGTAGCGGTACCAGACCAGCTACACCGTCAACGGACAGAGGCCCTCTGCCGACCGTATCGCGGAACGGCATGCCTTCGTCCGTGATTACTCCACGAACTGTGCCGCGCAGAGCGATTTTGAATACCCCGCCAGAACTATCGGTCGTTGGCCGATCATACTCGCTGTCCTTAACTATGGTTTTTAGACAAATGACGACTTTTACAATGATCAAGCCTGGAAAATAGGGCCCTTAAATTAATTTCTGAAATTAGCCAATGACAAAATCATGGTTATTTTCGGTTAACGGTGTTTTCAGTTACACATAAACCATACTGTCCTCCATTGTTAATTTCAGCTTGAAAGCGAAACAATTGATAGCATTCCTTAGTTAACCGCTATCAGCTTAAGAACAAAACTCATGCACATCAAAATTTATAGTCTGTACTTTAAAACAGAAATGGTTGAAATCTTGTTTACGGTAACTAAGATCCCTAAACGATGGCAGGGCAACAATCAATAAATAAACAAAACCCAAAGGCTACACTAAATTAATACATCAACAACTTTTCATTCTTAATCGCAGAATTCACCAAAGCTGTCCCAAATGAAAGTTTTCAATTCGAATGTGAAAAAATAATGAAATTTGATATATTAGGTTTCATCGAATGTGACATAAATGCCTCAAGTGAATACAAGACTTGTGGAATATACGAGAGTACCATATTGTGAAAAAAAACCTCATTAAACAAACTTCATCTCCAAAATACCAACCTGTAAATGCGGGCTTTGTTAATTTCATTTAGGAAGGTGAATTGACGCACTTTTAAAAAGCATGACACCTAGCCTGCATTTAGTTTGAACAGACAACCCCTACGTCCTCAAAGTGTCCACAGTCATTCACTCCCCACCCAGCAAACGGGCAGTCAGCAAGACCAGCCTCGTCGCCTTCACAGTAGACATCGTCCATCCAGATTGGACCCTCTCCCTCCTGGAAGAATGCCAGCCGCTTGACCTCTTCGACCCCGGCGTATCCCAGCTGCCGACAGACCACCTGAGCATTGTAGTCTGTGTACCAGGTATCATCGCAGACCGTGCCCCACTGGCCTGCGTGGTAAATTTCAACGCGGCCTTCATGGGGGCCATTCGGGCCTTGAGCTAGACGGACTGTTCCTTCAGCGACTAAAAATCAAAATATATGTAACAGAAAAATGTGTGAGGCAATCAACATATTCCCATTCGGATCGCTTTGGGATCGGGCATTAGTCGCGTCCATTCTCCTGAGTCGGTATTACACGCACGTTTAAGACCGGCCAAGCACATAGGTATTCCCTTAACATAGCATGTTGCGTACGTTGGGCTCAGATCGTTTGATTATAGATGTTACTACTGGTGGATATTTATCACGACAAACTCTGCATGTTCATTCCACAGAAGGTGGAAAATTTCTTTGTACGTATATACGAAGTCAGGGGGACATACTCTCCACACCTTGGTGTGTATCATGCGCTAAGTTCTAAACCAGATCCTCACTCCCCGCACTTTGTAACAGACAGATCTGTGTGTATAAAGTATTTCCCTTGTAGTTTTCATGTCTTTCAAGAGCATGCTCTTTCAAATGAACTTTCTTCTTCCTTGATGGAACATGTTGTTGTTATTTTGTTTTAATGGCGCTTTCAGCAACTCGGCTATTTGCGCCAATAACTGTACGTTTATTCATACACTTTATTAATCAGCATCACATTACAGAGGTAGGAAGAAGGTCCAGTTTTAGAGGCAAGAGGAAAGCGAGTACCCGGAGAAAACCTGCGAGAGCGAGTATGGACTGGAAACCAAATGCCTTTAAAGCCCGGGCCAAGCCAGGACTCGAACCCGGGCCTCATTGGTGCAAAGCGAGGAAACTTGATGGAACATGTACGTACCAGAATGACAAACCACTCCTGCATCCTCACTATGGTCACAGTTTTCCTCTCCCCAACCTCTGTTTGCACAGAGTTCCAGTCTAGATTCACGTCCTGTACAGGCCACATCGTCCAGCAGAATCCGCCCTGTACCTTCCCCGAACCCGGCTTCACTGACGGCACGTGTTGCCCTCTCAAATCCGAGTTGCCTGCAGACGACGTTAGCATCGCTGATATCCCATTCATCATCACAGACAGTGCCCCATTCGCCTTGGTAGTAGACCTCCACGCGCCCTTCGTTGTAATGGTTACTGCCAACCAGGCGGACTCTCCCATTAGGCTCTGAGAAGACCACAAAATGTTGCAGTCTCTTGGTATTCTTTCCTCAGTTTAATAACAGTGTGAGATTAAGGAACAAGTGTAGTGTATCCAGCAGCAGGACATGATACAATAGAGGAGGCCACTGCCATGTTTTTCCCTGTGGCTACAAATTTCGGCTGATTCTTGAACACTCCTAACTTGTTTCATACATGTAAATGCATCAGCAAGCGGCATATCACCGATACAAAATCAAAGCGTTTTTGTGCGTGTTTTGCTTTTTGTGCCAAAAAGGAAAACAGCTTCCGTTGCATACGCTGCAGTATAGTTTTTCATGAGCCTTCAGACGTTTTATGGGTAACTCCTCCCAATTTTGTAAGCAGAAATTAGATTTACAACGTTTTTTCAGAGATTTAGTTATGACAAATGATACAATATGACCTTTTGGGAAATGAAAGTGGCAAATGTGTTCTCCTTTTAACATTCCAGCGTGTATTTTTCATCATTCCTTACTAGCATATGAAAACAGCAAACACTATAAATATTTCATCTTCAGTTTTAATTCCTTAGGAGAGTAACCTTTTTATCCTAGCTTTGTAAGTGTGTTCGATCTCTTTGTAATTTTTAATTATGACATGTAATTTTGTTCTATACGTAAAATGTGTCGAAAGATTATTGACAAAATGTAAGAGAAGGCAAGATTGTCAAGTTCACATGCATTGAACAGGGCCTCTCATCCAATACACCACCTGTCTACAAAGCCGAAATTGGTCATGTTTCTTGAAACAACTTTCACAAAAGTCTTACCTCTAAAACCTTCACCTACCTTCATATGGCAGACAGACTACGCCAGCATCTTCATCATGGTCACAATTCTCAACTTCCCATCCTGGATTGGGGCAATCTACAAGTCTGCTCTCTGTGCCAGCACAAGCAACATCATCCAGGAAGATCGGGCCCGCACCTTCAAAACAAGCATGTTTGTAATGGTTTTCATCGACACCTTCTTTTCGTCTCAGGCACAAATCATTTCTAGATCTTTTTAAAGAATTTCCTTGGTAACTGTCTTCCATATTTATCCCAAACACAAACCCTTGCTCACATTTAACTTTGAGAAAAATCTGAGGCTTTACAAGTTGCAGCTTAAAAATCTCTTGTGTGAACTAATCTGCTCCTAGGGTTCAAGTGCATCACCAGAAGACTTCAGGCGAGCCAATTTGTAGATGTCCAAAGGTTAACCGGCCTCTCACGAAATGCCCACCAAACAGTTAGTCCCATCTGATATATAAGTGGACGATAGCCCAGGAGTACAATACCTAATGTTGATAGAGTGCTAAATTCATCACCTCTTTCTAGGTGCTGGACATAGAAAACACAATTGTGGTCCAAGTTTCTCGAGGTAGAATAACAGTTTTCGTGGAAATATAAACAGCCCTTGCATTTTAAAGGCATCGGCGTGCATTATTTGCTGCGGCATAGTTCCCCGATGAGCTAAACATCGTTCCGGTAATTAAAACTCAATCCCACACTAGTGTACCTTCACCAAATTCAGCAGAGCTTGCAGCTCTTGCAGCCCCGTTAGTGAAGCCCAGCTGTCTACACACCACAATGGCATCGTCAATGTCCCAGTCGTCATCGCAAACGGTCCCCCAGATGCCGTTGTGGTACACCTCGACTCGCCCCGCATTGGGGTCCGGGCCAACTAGTCGTACGTTATTCACATCTGCTGACAAATCAGAGCAGAAACAGCTGTCTCATTCATGTCAGCTTGTCTAGCAAACGAATTAACATACAGTACACAAGTGATAAAGAATACACAGGTCCTCCACAGAGTGAACAAAGGCACACCATTTCCCGAGCCAATAACTGTTTGAGAAAAAATGGTACCTTATCTAAATCTCAAACATTATACATCCCTTTTGCTGTTTTGACATTTCTAGTTGTACATAATTGTGGTGGAAAACCGAAACTGGGTTTCGATACTCGCGTTGATCAGAAACCATTTATCACTGTTCTGTTGAAATGTTGAATCCCTAGATGATCTTCACAGTGAGGCGCATGCCTACCTACAGTCTGCAACTGGAGAGTTTATCTCTGCTAAGATTATGCACTGAGGTTGGCCTTGAAGGAGATTCAACGACGACCCCTGCCCTTCTCCAGCATGTTTGGAGATACCTAAGCAGTGATGAGGAGGAAGTAGATGAAGGTCTGTCCGTACTGCAAAAGATGCTGCAAGGACTGACGACAACCCGAACCACTGAAATATTGGGAACTGTTAAGCCAGTGGAAACTCGAGATTGTAGCAAGAAGAATGTTTCCACACTCAGCGTAGATGTGTCGACTGAGCCAGTCTTCCATCGGGAATTTACGTTCTTCGGCTAAATTGGATATACGAGATAGAAACACAAGATCACATTTCTGTCTCTCATGCATCAGACAGCGGCAGGCCCGTCAGGGGCTACAATTAGGAGGGAAAGGTGGTTGAACCAGTTTCTCGTGTGATAAATCCCGCCTCGCTCGTGCATAGTAACCTGTAGGGAAAGCCAACCCTTTATCTCCTGAACCTCTGTCGAGCTTAGGGCCTCATTATAGGGAGAGCAACGCAACGGCACTGTATTACCAGCTTTCCAAAGCACGGCAAGAAGTTGAAGAAAACCCCTGGAGTTCCTTATCAGATACACAGACTTGTTGCAGAAGGTCTGGCTTGTTTCCAAAGAACTGACTGCAGGCACTGAGTTCAGGCATAAAGTATGAAGCTGAACAGGTAAGGGCTATGTTCCCCCACTCCCTGCAGACAGGATTCCGCAGCGAGGGAGCACGAACGGACATGTACGAACTAAAACATCTCAGACAAGCTTTCTAAGAGTCTCAACGTAGCAGCCAATCATGAGGCAGAACTCCACCAAAGACGAATGGATCACGACCTTCGACTGTTTACCAACAGCATCACCAACAACTTGATAGACCTTGACCAACCGCAACCTAGGCCAAACCTTCCAAATCTAAGTCCCATAGCCTATGACGTACAAAGGGAATCGAAAACCCAAGTCACTTCACCCACCAGTACTCCTCAAGCAAAGAAATATAGTTCCATCAACAAGCCGAGCATACCACGTCCTCGGGGTGCAGCTTAAAGATAGGGATGTCTAGAGCAAGTTGTTGGTAACCAGTGCTCCTACTGCTTTCGTTGTGGCGTGTTAGATCATCCCTGAATGTCCCCACCAGGCAGGAAACGAGCAGGAGTTCTTGCCAAGGGATGGGCATTGACCATCCCAGTTAGGAGTCCCAGCGCCAAAATGAGTAACAACGTAAGGCTACGGCAAAGGTGTGTGCCCATCTCACTCCACAACAGTACCAGCGGCTGAGCTGATTCATTGCGAAATGGTGCATAGTGACATGGCGTTGTTTGGCAGGGCAGCAAACGAAGTCCCCGTGGACGCTTGGTCACAGATCTCCCTTCTCTCTCGCTCGAGGCTCAAAAAATATCTACCGAAGGTGCCCCCTCTCCCGAAGCATCAGCTCCCGAGGGTGATCAAGCTAAACGTGAGGGCTGTCAATTCGACTCCAATCCCATTCGATGGATGGGTTGCGGTGGGTTTTGATAACACTGTAACATGGAGATGAAGACCAATCTAGCCCTTTGCAGGTACCAATGCTGGGAACGACAGGTGACACGGATGAATCGGTTATTGGAATTAATGTCATTGAGCAAATGCCAAAGAAAGTCATTGGGTATTCTGGAGGCAAAGTTCTCTAAGATGAAATCTGCAGCAATCAGAGTACTAGGCAATCCTATTCGTGGCACTGACTCCAAGACAGATTGCGTGTGAACTGTGAGGGTGAGAAAGAGAAATGTACTCATACCAAAAGGAACATTCAAATCATTGGTGTGTAAGGTGAGGGCAGGACTGTTCCATGAAGACCCAGAAATGTTTTTAAACACCGAGACACCTTGGCCAGAGGATGCAAAGATAGGCAAGTGTCTGGTGACAGTGAAGGAGGGGACATATCAGCACGTATCTACTTTTCAGTCACTTACTGCAATGGTCATTAAATTCTCCTTTGAGGCCGCACTATACTGGCTGGTTGCGGCAGATCAGATCAGTCCTGCCATGCCAGACATACAGCTATCCTACCGGACAACAGCCTGGACCTCATCCTTGGATTTGAATCATTTAACGGTTGAGCAACGTCAGGCTGCTGAACGGATAATGAGGGAGGAAGCTGGAGCCTTTGCAAGGGATGAGAACGACCGGGGCTGCATCAAACATCTGCAAACCCATATCCGGATTCATCATGGCGCCTAGCCAGTTCAGAAAAACGTGTGCACAGTTCCGAGTCCACTTTATACAGACGTAAAATCAATCCGCACGACGTAATCAGCAAAGGGTGATTTGCCAAATTAGCTCCCCTTGTTCCTCACCCGTCTTGTGGGTGCAGAAGGTTTGAAAGCTGATCTAAGCGAGCAAAACGGATCCCGATCAACAGCCCACGTGCATTCCTCGGATTCAAGGCGTCCTTGACAGCAGAGGTTTTTCTACCTTGGATCAAGAAAAGCCTATTACCAAAGTTTCAAGAGAGAGAGAAGAAGCAATCTACAGCTTTCATTACACCATGGATTCTGTATGAATGATTCAGGATCCCTTTAGACCGACGAATTCCCCAGCCGTTTTCCTCGGTGTGTGGAGACTTGCCGTGAGGGCCTAACAGGAGAAATAGCTGCCATGTACTTGGATGACAAACTGGTATAATGTACATCGTTCGAGGCCCACTTGGCAAACCTTCGTCGATTCCTCCTCCACCTGCAACAGCATTGCACAAGCTGAAAGCAGAGTTGAAACGAGTAACTTCAATTTTTTTGTGACTCGAGTCGAGTTTTAAGTCATTGTAACATAGTGACTCAAATAGAGTCGAGTCACTGTAAGGTAAAAAAGTCGAGTCGAGTTTAGTATTTAGCCCAAGTCAATTCGAATCACCAATGTTTGAACACAATACGATAAATAAAACAAATGAGAAAGTCATTTGGGGCATTTAAAATTTACTTCTTGGTTTCTGCATAGGGTCGGTCACATGTAATAATGACATGAACATCATAAACCTCCACTGTTAGTCACTGCATTTGTTTTAAGAAGTTTGCTTTCATTTTTGAGACTCGGGTCTTATTAACTTTACTAGATTTGGGTCTTCTGTTGAAGATTGCAGTTGCAATAAATTTTAATTTAATTGGCTCACAGTGACTGGAGTTGAGTCATTTGTCCGTCGGGACTTAAGTCGAGTCGCTAAAGCTTGTGACTTGAATGGCCGCGAGTCGAGTTATCGACTCCGGTCGTTATAATTCTGGACGAAATTTCGAGCTTTTCCATACCAAGACTTTCATACTATATGCCGACAACAACCCCCTCACTTATTTGCTTTCTTCTGGTAGATTTAGTGTCACAGGATACCACTGGGGGGTTGAGTTGTCAGACTTCCATTTCAAAATCAAAAACAAACCAACCGTGGAAGTTGACACACTTTCAAGGTAGCCTCTGGACTTTGAAAAGTAGATGTCGATTGTACGATCGGAGACAACTCCTGCTACAATGATACTCTCAACGCAGTCGCCACCCAGATTCCAGAAATGTCATGGTTTGCATTGGTGTCAACTACAGCCCGACCGAAGAAGTCATCAATAACAGCTGGACCAAACAAGAATATCCACACCGCAGCAAGCTGATCCCGGGGACTGGCAAAGCTGGGCATACATAGCATACAAACACATCCCCTTCATGAACGGTGGGAGCTGATACTCAAAAGGTGGGACGGGTACCATGATTCTATAAAGAAGCATCATATTATTGAGTTGATGAGCGCTGTCATTCCAACTTAGAAGGCATTAAAGAGTTAAACTTTACCCAAAGGGGTCCAAAGCGTGGTGACCAGAAGCCCTGATAATGAAATTGTTTATCTGTACTTGAAGTTGACCAAATTAAATAGAAACTAGTAGGGCCAAGAACATTTTTTCTGGTGCATATTTAATGAGTGCTCTCTCAATCCAGTATTTTTTTCAACGGCTTCTTTTAATTTAACTTGCGTGAAAACACAGACCAGCGGGGAACAACAATTCAAGTGCCATTGTATCTGTAACCTTGTTTCCTGAAATTGTACAATCCATCTGGTAACTTCCTTGACGTTGTAATTTCATTTTCTTTTCGAATGACAATGATTGTTAGATAGATTTTATTGATGTTGCATTGCAATTGATAGATTCGTTGTTAATGCAATCAACAACTTGTGAGCAGCGTGTGGATAAACACCATCTGTCGGGTTGTATGCAACAAGCCTATGTGTGTATCACTTCTCCTCTTTTTCCAGGAGTTAAATCCCTTCCGAAGCTGGGTCTACATAAATGCAGTGCTATTAAATGGAGGCAGACAATGTAAGGCTATACCAAAATGGCTGACTGCAACTTGCCGGTGCCAACACCACTGATCTCTAATAGCTAGCTACTTATCACTGCACTAAAAAGACACATTCGGGGCAGGATTTCGTATAGGCTTTAAGGGATTGCTGCTATTGTTTCTAGTACACGTTATGTAATTCAAATTTAAAGTCTTGAGAAGTATTAAGCATTTACCAAATAACTTCTAGGTTAAAAATGAAAAAAAAAACCTTTACTTATTTTACTTATATTACATTACTATTTGCCCAGTTCAAATAGAAACTCACTTAAAATTCCCTTAAAGGTGTCAGACACAACAGCCCGGTGTAGTATTTTGAGTTTCCTAGAAATTCATTATTCAGCATTATCCAGTCTGTGTATAGACATCAATGGCCCTCACAGGTTGCAATATGTCCATCTCTTATCCATGTAAACAGGAATGAGAATTACGTCCAATGTTCTGCTTCACATGCAGATTTTTTTTGAGTGGTTATGCAAGTCAAGGCAAATGGTGAAATACTGCAAAGAGACTGGCTCCTAGTGTATTTGCCTACTCCATTGCATTTGTTTGACTTCTATCATACCTAGTTTGAGGAAAAACAACGAAACTAAGCGAGAGAGCTGTTTCCCCTGCCATAAATTATTTTCTGAGGATATCCTCTCATCTCACAATAACGAAGCTGGTTTTGTCCCTGTATCCAGTAACCACACTCTCTACATCTTGGTGTGCATGATGTGACCCAAATCCCTACTCCCCACGCTTTGCAACAGACAGATGTGCGCTCAATTGTTATGCACTATGGAAGAAAGTCATGAGGTCAGTACATAAGCAAAGTTCTTGGACGGTAAGGAATTGCCCTCAACAAGGACAAAGAGTGATACAATGCGTTCAACGTGGAAAAACCCTTTTCCCAATCCATAACGAGGAAGGTTCTTATCATCCACATTGCATTCCATACTTCTGTTGCAGTTTTCATAACTGTCAGCGGCATGCCACTTGATAAAGTGGCACGCTCCTAAAACCACCATCTTCTTCATATACATACCAAAACTGAGGCAAACCACTCCTGCGTCTTCATGATGAAAACAGTTTTCCACTCCCCATCCTCTGTTCGGACAGTCTTCCAGTCTAAATTCATCTCCTGTACAGGCCACATCGTCCAGCAAAATCTGTCCTGTACCTTGCCCGAACCCGGCTTCACTGACGGCTCGTGCGGCACCCGCGAACCCGAGTTGCCTGCAGACGACGTTAGCATCGCTGATATCCCATTCATCATCACAGACAGTGCCCCATTCGCCTTGGTAGTAGACCTCCACGCGTCCTTCGTTGTCATTCTCGCCACCAACAAGCCGCACCGTGACTGGTTTTGAGAATAGAAGTGAAGAGTTGAAGCTGTGATCTTTCAATATTTCAAACTTAAACACCAATTAAGCGCAAGATAATATACCTAATTATTCCATACTTCCACAGAGATCTTCAAGTACAGCTGGTACAACAAAGGTCCGGATAACGGACAGTTGCAGATCACTTGATTAAAATAACACGAATTACTTCCAGTCTGCAATACAGCCCCTTCCATTGTAATTCTAAAGTCACTTATGCAGGACGACATTGGACTATCCGTGGTGGCCCATTGTGAGGGTGACAGCAAATTTGCCAGTTCCCTCGCTATATTGATCCCTCTAAACTGACTTGGCCCATATGGCTGAGCACAAACAAGACACCTGTGGGGCAGAATTTCTTGGGCCTTCAAAGATGGCTGCCACAACATTCTGTACTACGGAATGTGCTAATGAAACTGTAAGTTTCCAAGTCTTTGAGCAATATCAAGCAATTACTAAATAATTTGTGATTACAGATATGGCAAAGGTTTACTTGACTTTGCCAGTATGAATTTAAAAAAAGGCAGGAGACTCACCGCCAAGTCTGATTCACTTGCAGACTGACTCACTTGCAAGTCATGGCAAATTGCACGACCACAAAAGGAAGACTGCAAATGAGACTGGTTCCCTTAAATGTGTTTGTCTACTTAAAAGCACATCACGCCTCGCTTCCATGACAACCCCCCCCCAAAAAAAATACAAATATATTATCGCTTTGTTTGTGAGAGAGCTGTGCCCTCTACCTTAAGTTTGCTTGAGATCAACTCCCTCAATCATCAGGTTAGATTTGCTCCTCTGTCGAGAACCCATACTCTCAGCATGGACAAGGTACGAGCCAGATCACTCTGTTACACTCAGTAACAGACAGATGTGCGCCAAAAGTGCAGTATCTAAAAAGCCTGCTGATCAGTACATGAGCAAAGTACTTAGAGGATATTGGATTGTCATAATTAACAAGGAATGACACAAGAACACAATGCGCTCAACATGGAAAAGCCCTTATACTCAGCCCATCATAGAAAAAAATGCGTATCCACATTGCATATTTTTGCCGTTTTCATGTCTCTCAATAGCATGTTATATCGACTGAACTTCAGTCAGAGGATAACGTCTACCAGTACAAGCTGCAAGTTTGGGTGAAACATGTACTTACCAGAACCATGACAAACCACTCCTGCATCCTCACTATGGTCACAGTTTTCCTCTCCCCAACCTCTGTTTGCACAGAGTTCCAGTTTAGATTCACGTCCTGAACAGGCCACATCGTCCAGCAGAATCCGCCCTGTACCTTCCCCGAACCCGGCTTCACTGACGGCACGTGTTGCCCTCTCAAATCCGAGTTGCCTGCAGACGACGTTAGCATCGCTGATATCCCATTCATCATCACAGACGGTGCCCCATTCGCCTTGGTAGTAGACCTCCACACGCCCCTCGTTGTAATGGTTACTGCCAGCAAGACGCACGGTCACATCAGGCTCTGAGAATGCCAAAGAAATGTTGCAGTTGTGTTTGTTTTTCAGTATTCTCTCAGTTTGATATCAGTGTGAGATTTAATAAGCAATTGTTTCCAGCAACAGAACATGATACAATTGAGGAGGTCAGTGTTTCCCGGTGGCTTTAAAGTTTTTCTTTTTTTCCCACTACCAACCTGTTTTATAAACGAATCATCAGGCGAGATCTCACTGACACAAAACCAAAAGTTTTTTTTTGTTTTGTTTTGTTTTGTTTCGTTTTGGCTTGTGCCTATAAAAGGGAGGAACATTTTGTTCTTTCCATGGGGACTGGAATCAGAATTACAGTCAACGTTCTCAATCATATTCAGACTGGGTTTTTGAGTGAGTTTTTGAGTACCACAAGACCACAAGGGAAATTTGGCAAATACATGTGGTTTTTCACTCTGTATTCTCCTAATCAAATACTTGTATGATTCATCATACATAACTGGCATAACAAAAACATTTTACATTTAATTCTGAGGGGAATGAACTTTTAAACTTGATATTTATGTTTCAGCTTTCTATTTTCGTTTGGCCTTTTTTGTGACATGTGATTTAGCTTTATAACTAAATATTGGTTGAAATAAAAAGATTTGAATAAATTATAAAATATTTTTGGTAGTGTTCACATGTATTGAATAGGATCTCTCCCGTTGTACACAAAGTGTCTAGAAATAGTCATATTTCTTGAAACAACTTTATACAAAGTTTCTCTTCCAAAACCTTCACCTACCTTCATCTGGCAGACAGACTACGCCAGCATCTTCATCATGGTCACAATTCTCAACTTCCCATCCTGGATTGGGGCAATCTACAAGTCTGCTCTCTGTGCCAGCACAAGCAACATCATCCAGGAAGATCGGGCCCGCGCCTTCAAAACAAACATTGTTTTTGATGATTTTCATCCTTCTGGTTCGTCACGGGCACAATTCATATCCAGATCTTTTTAAAGAACTTCCTTGGCAACAGTCTTGCCTATTAATCCCAAGCACAAATCCTCGCTCACTTAGGCTAAATCTGAGGCTTTACAATTTACAGCTTAAATCCCTTGTATGGTGACACCTCTTCCTACATGTATTATTGTGGTGAACCACCATGGAAATGGTAGGCGATTCGTATACCCTAAGTCTATATCTGCCTTTTCCCTAAATGGCCCATTCCGATAAATAGCCTGAGTGGCCCATTGCAATAAATAGCCTGAGTGGCTCCTGAATTACAGTAAGCAATAACGATAACGTGCCAAGTTCATCACCCGTTTCTAGGTGCGATACATAGAAAACACTAACTTTGATCCAAGGTTTCTCAAAGCAGAAAGAACTGTAGCTTTTGCAGTATTAAAAGGAACTGGACTGCATTATTTGGTTCAGCATAGTTCTCTGATAAGAAAAACATCATTCCTGATACAGTGATGCAAATCAAAACTGAATACTGCAACGGTGTACCTGCACCAAAGTTGGCGTCAGTTGCTGCTCTTGCAGCCCCGTTAGTGAAGCCCAGCTGTCTACACACCACACTGGCATCGTCAAAGTCCCAGTCGTCATCGCAGACGGTCCCCCAGACGCCGTTGTGGTACACCTCGACTCGCCCCACATTGGGGTCCGGGCCATACAGTCGAACATCTCCCTCAGAAAAATCTGACCGGAATTATTTATAAAGCGAAAATTTCATACAAATACGTTTAAATGCACTGTACAATGAAGACACAAACGGGGTTGAGGACGCCTTAGGTAGCCGCCAAACAACCCATATCCACCTACATCTATAGATAAGGGACAATCAGAAGCAGTTTAGTTGTAGAAGAAGGAGGAAAACCCCAGAGAGGAAATTTCTGGGTAAAAACCAACAGAACCAGGTATGGAATGAAAACCCAATCCACATGTGGACCAAGCCCAGAATCGACCCCGGGCCACAGAGGTGAAAGGTGAAGAACTACTTCGCCAACCCGACTCCCCAAACTGTACTGTGGCAGAAACTGGAACTGGGTTTCGATACTTGTGTCGGATATCAAGCCTAAGCTTGCGGGCAAACTGTCCAAGATAGCACTGCCACCAGACAGGAAATTTCTAGACCCTAAACCTATGGAGATTAGACTATTATAGGGTTCGCCTTAAAAATCCTTGCCCCCACCGTGAAAAACATGAACACTCGTTCCGAAATTACCCCAAAACTCTACTCCTCTGCTCATTGAGATAACGTGAAGATATTAGTGATTAGCAGTACAAGAATCCAAACAACCAACGCAACTCGCCATAATGAAAATGAAACTAAAGGAAACTTCTACTCATAACAGAGTTTTCATTCATCTAAAAATCATTTATCCTGTAAGATGAAATGTAAGCATGAAATTAATCTTCAGCTCTAATACATCCAATTGAATTAATACAGAACGATAAATTGTCCTAAATTTCGCTAATTGGGAAAGAAGTTATTGTAGCGTGAACTAGTGGGATCTTGTCCTCCTAATCAGCAACACCAAAAAGGGGGACACAATTCACAGGATTTACGACAAAACTTCCTCTTTAATCCATGAAAAAAAGAGCTTGCAAATTTCCGCGCTGTGGTCAGAACAACCACTGGCAACTTATTAATATATTAGGATATTAGTAATCTATGAGCTTTTTCCTATGCAAACTTAATCAAAGGACTAAAACGGGAAAGAAATAAGGAAAAGATAAATTTATATTCTCTCATCTTTAGTCCTACAGTCTTACATTAAATAAGGAAATGATCTTTTTTTTTTCAAATTGGACTAATGGGGTATGAACGTAAAGAACCACGCAGGGAACCATTTTGAATTTTCCCAAATCTTATAGTACAGAAAATGCAATTTAATGTACATAGAGTGTACAAGAACAGCTAACCATAGGGGCTCACAGAAAACAGTGATATAAAAGAAAATAAGTTTTTATAATAAACAATAAAGTTGGACTCATTAGATAGAACTCTACAGGGCGGGGCGTCAACGGAGAACTAGCCTTTAGTCAAGGCGCGCGTGGCACCCTGGATGCTCAGCTCTGAACACCAAAAAAAACCCAGAGCGAGTGGCGAAACCACGAGCACCTTTAGGCCGCGTCTGAATCATTTGGCTGTGGCTTTAAGTTACGCACAACTTTATGGGAACTGGCTGTGGCCACAACCATATGGTTAATTTTTCTTCCGTTTTTCTTTTCCAGACATAGCTTACCATGCAGTTAATTTCGAATATATCTGGATACAGTTAATTCTATCGTGTTAATGTTAACGTCTGTACTCACGAGTGTTTTATTTATCGTCGGGCTTGTATGGTAGAGTGATTTATCATTGAAATATTCCCACGCATAAGTATTCCATCAAATCAGAAACAATTTGGAAACATAACCTGTAATTAAAAGGGTGCAGGGTGAGGTCTTCAAAAATTACGAAAAAGGTTGAACGACACGACTAAGGCAAGCAAGCTTGGTGTTGGTATGCAGCCTATAATTCGTCACCAACATCACGAAGTAACACAAGTCTGTAGATGTGAGTGCGTTTCAACGCGTATTTTATAGAAATGTGATATTTTCGTTTCCACGAAGAGGCACAAATGTCTTGTGTCACATGCTCCGTGATTTGCCGTATTCAGAAATTGACGTTCTCCTTAATTTACACAGTTACGAGTATTAAGAGCATTTTATTCAGTTTAGTCACCCATTTGCGGGTAAAATAAAATGATTTTAGACATTTAAAGCTTTTTTTCTGTGCTATATTAACAAAACACACATTTGTTTTAAAGATCGTTGCGTTTACCCCCGCGAGTTGCGGTCTAGAGTCACGTATGGCCAAATGGGTCAATGAACAACTGAATACCCCCCAACTGGCACCATACTAGATCGCGCTGCACATATCGCGGGAAACGCCGCTCAGGATTACGAAAATCAATTATTCAAGTGCATGTTTTTTCCTCTTTTGTGAGGTTTATCATAATGAAAATACCTGATTCGAAGAGATCATAACCTGCTCTTTTACATGACATGGAGCTTGAGTTTGGGAAAGCTTGATACTTCAGCCATAAAATTCGTCCTGAAAACGAGACCTCGTCAGTGACTGACGAAACTCTTGTTGTCGTATCGGAGATCAAGTTTCGCGCCAGTCTTACCGATATTTTTCTGTTTCGAGGATCCATTACATCAAGAGAACTCCTGTAAATGAACTTCTGCGAAAGTAACCGCCCCAAATGTAAATTTTCATGAAAACACCCAGATTTTTGAGGCCCCTCTTCGTTGGGTCATTACTAATGAATCATGTGTTTTGTTTGACCTGGCTTCAAAAGTGGGACATGCGCACAACCATATTTCACTTTTCACAATAAAACACCGCCAAAATAGCGGTGGGGGCACAAATTTTAACGTCATTATCTCTCAGCTTCTGCACTTTTCCCATTTTTGTCTTCGATTCAACGCGACAGCGTAAAACAGCCACAGACCGAACGCACACCTACCTGTTGCCGAAATATACGTTCAGTCTGCGGCAAATTATACTCGACTCTACAGGTAATTTTGATTCGATAGTCATTCGTTGCAAGAGTTTATATGACAGTACAGAGTATGGAAAAATAGGGAATCGTGTGTTGAGAATAACGTATACCGCCCTCCAAATTTTCTACTCCTGTGATTTTTGACAAACCGTCCGAACATGTCAAAGAACGCCGTCGGAAATCTGACCAAAATTCCTTTTCTAGATATATCCTGAAAATTACATTTGTAGAGTAAAAAGCTATTTTACTTTTCAAAATGAAACTGAAAAATACTGCATTGCCAAACAATACCAGCAGAACAGTTTTCATTTCAATCGATCAGGAACTTGGAAAAACCAGTATATTTCGCTTGTGGTTTGGAGTTGCTAAGTCTTTTTAACGAACAGGAGGGTTCACCTGAAATACATGTATAAGTGTATCCCATCACAACCCTGTGGACACCTCACCCATCCCCGCAAAAGCTGGCTTTTCTGGAGTATGATTACTGTTTGTTTTTTTTTCCTCTACTAAAGAAATATTAACGCCTAGGAGAAAGTAATTCATATAGAATTTATAATTTTATTTCAAATATGGATTTGCGCCGTGAAGATGTAAATTAATTGTGGATTTTTGCCCGCCCGACGTGTATTTTTACACTGTACGCTCAAGTCTGTGCCCCATAGGCTTGTGAAAAACGACAAACGTACCAGTACCCGGTGGTTTTTTTTCACAAGCCTTCGGGGGCACAGTATACAGAGTTAAATTACACGTCGGGCGGGGCAACGGTACAAAATTGACTTATAATTCATTCACAGATGGGCTTCTGTGAAAAGTGTAAGCATTCATGTTTTCAAAAGGGTATACTGTTACCGGTACTGAACATAATTAGTACTTGACTCATCTATAATACGCAACAAGTCAAATTTATGTGACATAAGATTAAGACCAAGTTAAATTACCATTGTTTTGTGTTATTTTAACGTAATCAAACTGGGAATGGCTGTGTTCCTAAGTATGAAACTTAACGCAGATGCTATTTGTTTTCTCTCTAAGGTTTCCATGACATCTGTACAGCACTTTCATGACCTGAAGTTTTATGGCAATTTAAAACTTAGAACAACACGATTCTTCGCACGCTCGGCTTAAAAATGGGTGATTCCATGCCTGTAAGCGGAAACATGGTAGAGTGATGCAATGCAGAAGCTTGAAAGGAGGCAGTGTAATAAAAACGATCAGTCTGTGGGTTAACGACATTTGTGGTATCTTCTCTTCCCAAGCATCTAGGTACAACGTCTAAAACAATTTAATGACGAAAAATCTGCGTGCAACTTTTGCAAGTTGCAGAGTGCAACTTTTGCAAGTGCTTTGTCAGGACAAAATGATGCACATGTATTATGTAA